AAGGGCAGATGAGGTGCTGAGGGACAGGGTTTAGTGGTGGGGTGGCAGGGTTAGGTTAAAGGTTGGACTCGATGATCTTAAAGGTCTTTTCCAACCAAAGTGATTCTATGATTCTATCTCCGTGTGGGAGCAGAAAGTGTGACCTGGGAAAACCTTACTGGGACGCAGGGAGAGCCCCACTTCACTTCACAGCTCAGAGCAGGCACTGGTCATGGCAGAAGACACCTAAGTGCACGCCAACTCATCTCGAGTCGGGTCAAGCAGCTCCTCTCCATCCTCTGCAAAACCAACTTGCAGCAGGGCTGCCTTCCGCGTGCAGACAGAGCGAGGCAGCGATGCCTCTTCCTCTGTCTGTCTGTCGTCTCCTCTCCTGCCTGGGGCGCCTTGCCTGTGGAACATCTACTAAAACAGCTGGATAAATTATTCTGGAGCCGCTGTTTTGGTAAATTCCCATTCGTGAACAAGCTAAATGAGAGCAGAAGTGGATGGACAATTGTAAGGGTCTTGGAACTGCAGTACTTAACAACCGACCTGGTCATCCATTACCACACACACGGACTCCATGTGTTTGGAAAGGGCTTATCAATGCTTAGGACGCAAGCGCTGCTGCTGCAAGCAGGACTATGCTCTGCGTACTAGGGAAAAAAGGGGTTGTTCTCAGTGCACCACAATAAACCCACAATAAAATCAAGGGGACTACTTGGCAGTTAGTAGTTCTCCCGAGTTCATTTATTGAGGTGAAGATGATGAAAGGAGAGGGTTTACCTCGCTTTGCTGACCTGTGTGAAAATTATCAGCTGCCTTTTTCACCAGGGTTTTATCACGCGCTGGTCAGCACCACTGGCTCACCCAAGGAAAGCCTAAATCCCAGCTCAGAAAGCCACCGGCAGACTGAAATAGATGCCTCACTGTAAAGTCCTGGTAGACACGAGGCACTACAAATTTTGACTTTGAAGCAGCTAGTTGAGATCAGACGTACAGCTTCTCTGGACCTCAGTTCGTTAGCTCCGAGTACAAAAGCACGGCACCTTCTCTCCTGAGAGAGTTTACACAACATAACTGCAAGCAATGTAAAACCTCACCTCTCTAGAAGTAAAGGTGAAAAATTCATGCAGCAAGAGGCAGACAGGAGGCAGGGGTGGGAGGGCATGGCAGAAACAGGCAGCACGTTCCCACGCGGGACCGTCACCCCCCAGCAAGGCCAGGCTGCTCCGTGCAACCACGGCAGAGAGCAACCATGGAATCACAGGATTGTTTTTAGGTTGGCAAAGCCCTTTAAGCTCCCCCAGCCCAACCGTTCCCCTACCCCTGCCATCCCACCCCCAAACCCTGGCCCTCAGCACCGCCTCTGCCCGGCGCTGGGGACTCGACCCCTTCCCTGGGCAGCCCCTTCCAGTGCCTGACAGCCCCAAGGGGAAGGAAGTGTTCCCCATGCCCACCCTCACCCTGCCCTGGCACAACTTGAGGCCGCTGCCCCTCATACCATCGCCCCTTCCCTGGGAGCAGAGCCCGACCCCCCCGGCTCCCCCCTCCTCTCAGGCAGTTGTAGGCAGCGATGAGGGCTCCCCTCAGCCTCCTCTGCTCCAGGCTGAACACCCCCAGGAACCGGCTCTAGCAGCCACCAAACTGCAATTTCTTTTAAAATGTTTAATTGCAACACTTTCGTTTTCCTGTTTCAAAACTCAGCTCAGACAAAAAGCAATTGTTTTCCCAGGAAGAGCCATTATGACCCCCAGTACAAGCCCCAAACGCACATTTTGCAGCCCCTTCTCTTGGCCACGCTGGGCATCACCAGCAAAAAGGCTGACACCACCCCCGTCCCAGCAATAAAGCCTGGTAACAGCAGTTCTCCCCAGGATATCGCCCGTCCCCCCAGAAGCCCGCCTGTAAATCCCCCCGCCCCGCAGCCCAGGCTGAGGAAAGGCTGCTGGCGACACAGAATAATGCAGCCGAAGGCAGGAACTCAATGGAGTTATTTTTAGGCTCCTTTGGTTTTGTCATTTGCCATGGGACTCTCGTAGCGGTATTAGGATAAGAAAGGCTTCAATGTGTGCCCACGGAGTAACCACAGAGCAAAGCCAAACACTAAACGAATTTCAAAAACCCTTCAGGAGAAAAGCACAAAGACCCCTGTTCACCATTTTTTTTTTTTTTTAAAAAAAAAAAAAACAAAACTATAATCAGCTACAGGAAAATTTAAAGGTTTCCTCCTAAATGGTTTCCTCCTCCTTGTTAGAGCCTCCAACAAGAGCAGCACTGTCAGAAGGCATTACTGCAGCCTTGGAGATACGAGCTAGCGACGGC